GCGACGACGCTCTCTTTATATCTCTCTGTCTTCGTATTTGACGGTTTGCTTTGATTCAAATACATTTTCAATCAGCAGTAGTAGCTTATCACTAAATGTCAAATTTTAAAGAGTTTGTTTTTTCTTTTGATGTTGGATGGTTTGAGAACATTTGATTTGCGACTCAAGTTTATCAGAACAAAAATCACCAATATACAAGATTTGCATTTACACATAGCTGACCTTGAAATTTTTCAACGGTTTTTCTCCAAATAGTTTCTATAAATTAAAAATTATCTGTTGCACGATAGTTTACGCCTACGGCATCGTTCACAATTTTTAGCCTTTTAGCTGCAATGTAGCTATTTTCTTTTCACAGAAAAATATTCATATTACAGTATGCAAAAATTAATAATCATTACAACGTATGAAAACCAATGTATTATCAATTACAGAATGATAAATACAGAATAAATAAACTTAAAGCAATCAAATTTGAATCAAATTTACCCATTACCCATAAAGTAGCACATTAAAGCATTGGGTACGATACAACCACTAGGTGGTCATTTATCAATGTAACTAACTACTTTTTTGTTAAAAATACACAGTGTTTGCTGCATTAATTCGTTGCATCGTGTAGACAATATCTTTTGATAGAACGGAGAAATGCGTTGAACTAGATTATATGCTGTAATAATAGATATTGCAAGCAAAAGTGCTAAAGACTTTTGACGAAGTTATAGTCTTGATAAAATCGAGCGAGCTTTGACAATTTGACGAACGCTTATGTGAAATACGCCGTTTCAGGTGGCATCGGCCCATGCGCAACGGGACACCACTTCATCGTCTCGATGAAAAATAGCTCGGAGCCGCTCAGAGCGAGTTGCAGCTGCAAGCCCAATTACGTGCTCTACAAGGACGGCTTTTGCTACCGCGTGCACACTCAGGGGCCTTGCCAACCTGGTTACATGCTCGCAAACTCCACGAGCTGTGTCCTCGTACCGTGCAAACGCTCCCGACTCTACTTCCCACGCGAACGAACCTGCTACAAAATAGGATCGAGGGGTCCTTGTCCTAACGGGCAGATTGTCATTTACGACTATAGTGCGCGGCCCTCGGTCGACGGTATTAGTTACAACGGGGTTTGCGGCTGCACGAGCGCTATGAAGACGAGCGGCAAGTGCTCGGAGGGAAGTGCCGCGGGCGGGGCTGCGCTCTCAAGCTCCTTCTTAAGCGACAAGTGCGAGGAGTCACCGGGAATGGTCCTCATTAATCGGACCTGCTATCGACTTTACACCCGGGGCCCTTGCGCCCAAGGAGAGTGGCTGGTCGCTCAGAGGATGCCCAAAGGCATCGACCTGTGGCTCGACAAGACACCGTTGCCCAAGGCGAGGTGCGAGTGTAGGCCCGGTTACACCAAGACCAATGAGCTGGAGAGCAACAGCCTGCTGAATCCGAGCAAGTGCCAGTCGCCGACCGTTGGTTTGGCCAAATTTTTAAACGAACGCGCCAAATCTATCGGTTTATAACGCGCTCCACTCTGTAATTCATTTATATGTACAGTGAATCGAGGCCTTGTGGCTGCTTAAAGTAGTAACGAATCGAGAGGGACGCCCTCCTTTAAGGCTCTTCTGTCAAGGAGTTGAAGGTCCTAATCTCCCAGAGACATCAACACGTGTGCATTGACTCGAAAGTCATCTTATTCAATTTCCGATATATTTCGAGGCGCTCGAGACTTTTTGTCGTCACATTTGGTTAATGGACGTACGCCGTTAAGTAGTGGCATTTTTGTATGGCTAATGTGATTGCCCGGTGATATGATGGCGTTAACCGTTAATTAATACGATTTCAGTGAACGATCGAAATAAACGCGACTTTAAACCATTGCATTAACCGTATCAACTAAGTAATATTAATTTTCATTTTTCTAAACGTTACTTAATCCTTCGAACATTATTCAGTATGTGACTCGACCATTCACTGAAACGAATATGTACAATACGTGTATGCATTAATTTAAGTACTCATAGTGTTTTAGTGTTTTATTTAAAAGTTCTGTCGCCATGTGAAATGAGATTATGAAATAAATTGTACAAGTGTAAGAATAAAACGATGTAAATTTCTCCTTACACTTGGAGAAGATCGGCAAATTAAATTAATTTTATTAAACAATTTCAATTTTCATCTTTTCCTTTGAATTAAGATAATGTAAGTTTTATTTGTATATATTTTTGTAGTAATAAAGCTTTGGGGGGGGGGGGGGGGGT